GCCCTTCCCCCCAAGTGCGTGAATTTTGTGCACCGGGCCTCTAGTCTAACATAATCACAAAGAGGAGAGAAGATAAATGCCACATTTCTATATAAAGGCTTAGTGCTTAAATAAAAGAGTGTTTCAGATGATTAAATTAAAATATAATTTAAGAGACTAAGAGATTTCTTAGTCTGATTTCTTGCTTAATCCTTGATAATTTTTAAAATGATTAGAGAAACAAGGAAAAGACATTGAGGAACACTTTAAATAATCACAATTATTTCTTAGTAGTATTTTTCTTTTCTGTAAAATTAAAAGTTATAAAAATAAAGCTGGTATTTATATGTAAGAAGTTTACAAATCTATTAAAATTGATCTCATTTAATCAGAGAGGTTAAGTAATTGCTCAACAAAACACAGCTACTAAATTCAGGAACAGTATTAGCATATTGGTCTTTTGATTTCAAATTCCAATATCCTTTACTACCAAGACCTTCCCAGGGCTGAGTTCCAGGACAGGAGGTATGACAGATCACCACATCACAATCATGAGAAATTATGGAATAATATGATACTGAGTGTAAATACTGTCCTGTCCTTCATGTGTTCTTGGCATTCAGTCTTTTGGAAGTATGCTTAAGGAACAAACACGCATATCTCAGAGTAGTCAAGGCTGAAAGACCAAGTAAATATGCTGAAACTGGTGAGAGATATAAAATCCTTTATCTCTTAGCAGATAAAAGAAAATGCAAAGAATAGAATAAAACTACAAATCAATGTCTCTAATAAATATAGTCTCAAAAACTCTTAACAGCCGAAACTGGTTTGGCTTAGTGGATAGAGCATCAGCTTTCAGACTGAAGAATTCCAGGTTCGATTCCAGTCCAGGGCATATATACCTTGGTTGTGAGCATATCCCCAGTGGGGGGTGTGCAGGAGGCAGCTGATCGATGTTTCTCTCTCATCGATGTTTCTAACTCTCTATCTCTGTCCCTTCCTCTCTGCAAAAATCAATAAAACATATTTTAAAAAAGAATTATATAGCATTACCAAATGAGGTTTAGTCTAAGAATGTAAGTCTAGTTATATTAAAAAAAAAATCAAGGCCTAATCAGTGTGGCTCAGTATTGGCCAGGGGACTGAAGGGTCTTTGGTTTGATTCTTGTCAAGGGCACATATCTTGGGTTGCAGGCTGGATCCCCAGTAAAGGGTATGCAGGAGGCAGCCAATCAATGATTTTCTCTCATCATTGATGTTTCTATTTCTCCCTTCCTCTCTGAAATCAATAAAAATAGATATTAAAAAAAGAAAGAAAAAAAAGCAATCAATATAATGCAAAATATCAACAAGCTGAAGGAAAAAATCATATGGTCTTAGCAAACATTTAACAACATTAAATATCAAGTAATGATTTTTTTAAAACTCAGAAAAATAAGAATAAAGAGGAACTTCTTCAGCTTAATAAAAAAGAACATCTACTAAAAATCTATACAAATACACCCAATGGCTATCGGATAGGAGCAAGACTAAATGCTTCTCTTCTATCATCATGAATGAAGCAAAGATATCCACACTGGCCACTTGTATTTAACACAACATTAGAAGTTCTAGCCAGTATAATAAAGCAAAAAACAAACAAACAAACAAACAAACAAACAAACAAACAAACAAAAACAGCAACAGCCATACAACCATACAGTTTGGAAAGGTTGAGGTCAATTGTCCTTATCAAAGGATCAAATAACTGCCCACAGGGAAAAACCAAAGGATTCTTAAAAAAATAAAATAATAAATGAGTACAGCAAGGCTACAGAATACAAAAAATTTTGTTTTCAAAATCAGTCACATTTCTCTATGCTAGCAATGAACATGTGGAAGCCTAAATTTAAAAAATACGATTAATACTAGTAATGGTTCAAAAATTGGTATTCTTAGAAGTACGTCTAAGAAATCATATATAGGTCTTGTGTGCTGACACCTATAAGACACAGATGAAAGAAATCAAAGAAGAACTAAATAATGAAATAGACATATGCAGGGTGAGGTGAAGCAGATTTGCAGTTGTGAGTATATAAAAGAGTTTATTCTTATTATTTATTAGTTATAGTATTACTTTCCACATGAACAACTGTACACGTTCTTTTGCCCTTCCCTGTAGTGTTCATGGGTTTATGGGTTCATGTAGAAGATTCAACATAGTAAAGATGTCGATTCTCTATACATTGATATACAGGTTTAGCATAATCCCAGCATAATTTTTTGTAGATATAGAAAAAATTATTCTAAAATTATGTAAAGACAAAGGAATTAGCTAAAAGACCTTTGGAGGAAAAAAAGGTAGGAAAAATTCGTCTGCCTCATTTCAAGACATCATATAATGTTATTAAAACTACTAGAGGCCCAGTGCATGAATTTGTGCATGAGTGAGGTCCCTCTGCCTGGTCAGCAATCAGGGTCGATTAGGAGGGCCAGCCAACCAGACGAAGGGACTGCAGGTGGTTGGCTGGCTGGGGGGAGGGGCCATGGGTGGTTGGCGAGCCAGCCAGGGTTGGGTGGGGCTGGCTGCGGGGGGGGAGGGACTGCAGGAGGTTGGCTGACTGGCCTGTTCCCTATTGGGGTTAGGGGGCAATCAGGGGCTGGGTCAGCTGGGAGGAGGGGTTGGGGAGGTGGTCAGGGGCTGGGGAAAGGGACTGTGGCCAATCAGGATGGTGGGGGCCCATCGGGAGTGTGGCTAGCTGGGGGCAAGGGTCTGCAGGAGTTTGGCTGGCCAGCCCTGCCCCCTATTGGGGTGGGGGAGTGCTATCAGGGGCCGGCTGGTCAGGGGGAGGGGCTGCAGGCCTATAGTGGTGGGGTGGGCTGATCAGGGGCGGGGTTAGCCTTGGAGGAAGAGAGGGGTCATTTGGCCAAAGGCCTGCACTTGATCAGGGTGGGAGAGTCTGATCAGGGGCGGGCGGCTGCAGGGAAGGGCTGTGAGGTTGGCCAGCTGGACCCACCTTCTAATCTGGATGTTCGCTGCCATAGTGGGCATCATAGCGACTGGTCGTTAGGGTCATTATGGCCGTTAAAGTTGCTTGCTTTTTATATATATAGATGTGGCTTTAGGCTAATAGAATAGAGAACCCATAAAAGATTCATACAAATACACCCAATGGCTATCGGATAGGAGCAAAACCAATTCAACGGAGGAAAGGCAGTCTCCTTAACAAATGGTCTACTGCAACTGGACATCTGTAGACAAAATCCAAACCTTGTCCTAAAGTTCACACCTCATAAAAAGATTAATTCAAACTGAATCATGGACTTAAATGTAGATCAAACAAGTAAAAACTTTTACTTTTAGATAAAAAAAATTTTTTTGAGATAAAAGGTTAGACTTGACACCCAACACCACAATCCATAAATAAAAAACTTGGTAAAGTAGACTTCATCAAAATTAAAAACCCTATCAAGAGGCTTAAAAAGGCAAGATACAGACTGGGAGAAAGATTCACCAATCACACATCCAACAAGGGACTAATACCTAGACTATTTAAGGCACTCTCAGAACTCAACAGTAAATAAGCAGGCAGTTCCTCTAAAGGTTAAACATAGAGTTATCATATGACCTAGAAATTCCACTCCCAGGGAATGAAACATATCCACATAAAGACTTGTATGTGAGTGTTCACAGAAGCATTATTCATAAAAGCCAACGAGTTTTTAAAATATGAATGTTCACCAACTGATGAATGCATACATGAATCTATCACAATTTATTGATGGAAAAATAATGGTGATACATTCATACAATGGAATATTAATCAAGGGGATATAATACCAGGGAATGAAGTACTAAGTAAAAGCAGCCAGTTACAAAACACCACCTGTGAAATGTCCAGATCAGGCAAGTCCAGAGAGACAGAAGGACATTTGTGGTTGCTTAAGGCTGCCCAGCCTGGGGGAAGAGAGGAGTATATGGGTAGGGTTTCTTTTTTGGGTGATGAAAATGCTCTAAAATTGATTGTGGTGACAGCTGTACAAGTCTGTGAATACGCTAAAAAACACTGGATCTCACATTTTAAAGACAAATTTTATGACGTGCAAATTATATTGTAATGAATCTGTTTTTAAGAGTTGTTTTTCTAACAATTCCATATCATCCAAGGAATTCATATCACTTCTGTATAATCCCTGTTACCTTTTCTGTAGCAGAAGGAAACAAAACATCTCGCCAGCAGTACATTTAATGGTAAAAGACTGACTGCTTCTCTCCTATCATCAGGAATGAAGCAAACATGTCTACACTGGCCACTTGTATTTAACACAGCGGCTCGATCTAGTTCACCTGTCTGCTTTCAATTAGGTTTCTTTCAATGTGATAATTATCTGACCTCATATCTAATTCCTTCATAGACAGACATGTTACACTCTTTCGGGGCAATGCATTTCAAGTCTTTTACATTGATCCAGAGACAAATCCCTCTTTTGTCCTCATTCTTCCCACCACCAAATTATAAGCAAACTAATATTAAAAAGAAATAAAATTTTAAAATAGTCCTCGCTTTCTATGTATTTTTTCTCTTTTAGCATAATTATATCTAAATCAGCTAAAGCAAGAATGTTGAAAGGGATCCAGTAAAAAATGTAATTTTATTTTTTTGTTTTCCCCAGATCTTAGTGAAAAAGTCAATATAGTTTCTATCCACGTGTGTATACACACACACATAAAGAAATAGAGCCCACATTAATGTTTGTTTTGTTCTTTGTGTCTCTTCCTACTTTTGGTGAATGTACAGGGGCGAGTAAAAGTAGTTTTACAGTTGTGAGTATGCAAAACACTTTATTTTTTTATTATTATTTATTAATTGTATTATTTTTTCATGAAAACAACTGTAAACTTATTTTTGCTCACCCCTGTGTTGTATTTTTTTTTATCGTATTATTTTCTGCATCCCATAAGTTAAAAGGTTTTAAAGGGTCTTGACCTACCTTTCTTTTAGTTCTTACAAACTGACCCTTGTGATTCCCATTTGCTCTAGCTGGGGTCTCAGCGGAAGCCATGCAGACCATCACCACTGCTCCCGACACCACCTCGGGGCCCGAAGCCAAAGTCCAAGAGGAAGAGCACGACCTTGCGGATGATGACATCACAACTGGTAGGGACACGTCTTTAACATAATCTGGAGGAGCCTTGTCCAGTGTTGAAAAATGCTTGTCTGTCATTTATAGTGGGACTAAGTAGTATTTTGATGGAGAGGATGATGGAGAGTATTGATGGAGTGTTTGGCTTTACAAGACTCCTTAGTGTCCTTTTTGATCTTGAAGTGGAAAGAAGTGGAAGCATTTATTTGTTCTGGGTTTGCTCATTGTTGCTCTAACAATGAACCTGCTGGCTGTGCATTTGATTTTCTGGGGACTTTTTGATTCAGAGGCGAGGCTCATTTCTAAAGCCTTAGGACATGTAGAGGAATACACCTATTATGTTATGGAAGGTTTTGCAATTATAGGGTAAACTGAAGCTGGTGAAGTTGTAATAGCAATATATGCAATATAAACTGCATAAGGAAACTTACAGAGACTCTTTTTTTATGTGTACTACAAAAATAAATACCTTCTTTTAAAAGTTATTTACATTCTTATCTGTATTATTTATCACCTTACCGGGCATAAAGTAAAATTTAGAAAAGCCATGTAGCACAAATTTTCAGCCTGTTGTTTTATGGATTTAAACAGTTCCAATTACTGGATCTTCAAATGCATTCAACTCAATTTCTTTTTAATGCACAGAGGATAAAAAACAATCCAGTATAGATATTTTTATTGGTATTAAGAATGATCAACTTTTGTGTGTGTGTGTGTGGATGGTTAAAATGTAAAATCTGACGACATATGTCTATAATTATCGTGAAGCAACAAATATTAACTCGATAGTAATCAATAAGTTGAGAAGAAGCATGCCCAGAAAATATCAGTAAACTTTCCAACAGAAATTAAAGGGAGAAAGGAACAAAGGGGAGGTTTATTTTGTGTTTCTTTGAAAGCTCTGAGTGGCAGGTTCCTTACTGTTAGAACCTGAATGCCTTTAAAATTGCTTCACTGGGAAGAAGGTGGGGCAGCCTAATGATCTCCCCTGAAAATTTACAAAGCCTGTCTTACCTTAAAACCCACGTTTGTGTCACTGCTACAGACAAGGAGTTGACTAAGTTAAGGAGCATCTGGTTTTTAGTAAAAATGAGATGATGGTGGTTCTTCTTACTTCTTTTTAATGTTACCAGTTTGTTGATATTTTAAAAATCATCTATCTTAAATATAAATTATTTTCAAAATGTTCACCTTTTCTGAAAGTTATTTGCACTTCACAGTTATGGAATTTGTTTCAGTAGCTACTAGAGGAAATGATCTCATTTGCAAGTTTTTAAAATCATTTTTTATTTTATTTCATTTTCATTGCTTTTTAAAATGCTGTGATAAATGTTTTGTTATATATTAATTCCTATAAATTTTAAAGGCCTTTTATAAAAAGTAGTGGTTTAATTCATAGGAAAAAAAGAAGAGGTTACCTTTGCAATAGTGGAATTATTCAGTTTGCATTCTGAATAAAAGGTAAATTTTTGAGCACTCAAATAATATTAAATCAATACATTGAAATTTTGAATTATGCACTGCCAAAGTCATAAGAGTGCGTTATAACACATAACTGTCTTTGTTTGATTGCTAAAACAAATCAAGAAGCTTAAAAATGAAAATCTAGTGTTACAGAGTCAATTAATGCTACACAAACGGTATGTGAATCTGTATGAAGTTCAGTTACACATATGTGATGAATGGATTCTATCAGTTGATTTATTTATTTCTTGCCATGAATACTGGAACCAAGAATGTTCAAAACCCAGAGAATTTAAATAACTAAAAAAGGCTCCCTTAACCATGTTTCAAAGCAACTAGTATGCTGCAGTCTGCAGATCGCGCAGGTTAGACTGTGTGACTTGATTAAGATGTGGTATAGATTTTTATGAAGGTTTAGAAGAAAACCATATTTCTCTTTATTGACTAGAATCCTATATAAATTGCATTATGAAAAATATGGTAGATGCATCAAGAGAAAACTGTTCCAAGCATAATAATCTTATTTGGGGATAACCAGCATTGTAGAGCACAAATACAAAAGGGAAAACTGGTCAGCTTAGTCATTCTCATTGAAAAATCTGATTGCTTTTTCAGTTATTTAAAAGAAATTGCTCTAATAATATCTTCTCATAAAATAAATAGAAATTATATCTACTTATTTTAGACAGAGATCTTTGCCTGTATTTTGAATGGATTCTTATTTGGAGACTAGAGTTAAGCTAATATGTATCATTGTACTAGTTATATATTTGTAGTAATCTGGAACTTAATTTTTCAATTAAACAACTGACCAGCTCTGGGGAGGGAGGGTATGTATGGGAGGGAGGGAGGGGGGCAAAAAAAAATCAATAAAATATATTAAAAAAATTATTTAAAAAATATATATATTTTTTGCCAAAAAAATAAATAAACAACTGACCAGTATATCAATTAAAATATGAAGTATAACTGAGAGCTTGTGCTATAGGAAGAACAGACATTTTTAAAATATTTCTTTTGGGTGAGGAATTGAAGGAAGTATGAATGTGTCTTGTGACACTGGAATCTGAGCCTAGCAGTCTTTGTTTGTGTTGCCTTATAAAAATAAAGATCCATGGATAAAACTGTGTAAGTGTTAGCTGTGGTCAATTGGAACTAATTAAATTTATTTGAAATGAAGAGTCTTAACTGGAAGAGAACAGCTGGAAAAACTGGGAAGAAAAAATTGAGTCTTGATTGAGACAATTTAAACCTTCTCGCTGTCATTTAAGGAATATGCTGCAGCTCCTTTCTATATCTTTTTTTAAAGCTAATATCTATTGATCGGCTCTACAAAGTAATGCCACAGTGCGCCTTGGTCAACACACACACTCGGCTTTTCTTAACATTCTACCTGAAGATCATAAAATTCCTTCCTTTAACCACATGTCTAAAATAACACATCAAAGCTATATTAGCTATTTTTGCAGATTAATATTGTTTTTAATGTAGAAAATAAAACTTCTTCCATTCTTTATATTGTATAGTATGCATGGCAATGTACTTTCTTTTTTCAATGAAATTGGTTCAGGTTTTGCACTAAATGTAAAATCAGTTTTAACAATAATAGTATTTTCTTTAAAGTTAAATGAATGGCATTAAGGTTGTTTCTAGATTATTTCAGAGTCACAAGAATATTACTCTATACCCATGTTTGTTTGTTTTTTCCATACGAATACTTTTATTTTTAGAATTGTAATTTACACATTTCTGTTGGATATTTATAAATAACATGTTCTCATTTTCATTACGATATTAATAGGTTATAATATATTAATGGAATAAATCTCATTAAAAACTGACTTGCATAGAAAAAAATTTAGATAAATCATAATCTATTTTTTAAGGTAGACCTTTTCGGTAACGTTGTTAATTATTCTTATGTGTTTTTCATCATTGTAAAGGATGACATTCTGTGTAAGGATGAAGCTGTACATCTCTAAATGTTGCATTTTAAAACAACCTCCTCCCAGGTGCAGGTTAAAAATAATTTTGGAAGGGTTTCATTCACAAACCTGCGTGGACCCATTTAAGAAAGTCACTATATTTTTCTGTGGGTCTCACTGCAGTGTCCTGCCTCTTTGTTGTTCAATGTTGCAAGGACACAAACTGGCCATATAACAGTGATAACAGGTCAGGAGTCACTGACATTGTCAAATGGAGACAACCTGATAGCAAATGACCAGCACAGTTGATAGATTCAACTGCTTACAACAAAATCAGATAATGGATCTAGATGGGTCTGTTGTGTTTTTTTTTGTAAAATTTAAAGTTATCATTTTAAAAGGTGAGAAGTGCTATGGATAAAAGAAAAAAATAGGAAAGGTTAAGAGAAATGGAAAGTTACATCTATTGATAATTTACAATGTCCAAGCACTTTACACTCGACTCTTATGGCATTTCTCGGAAGTGGATACCAGTATTTCCCCAGCTATGTAGATGAGGAAACCAGCTCAGAGCTGTCACTTTTATAAGGTCCCATACTTAACAAGTGATAGATACGGGACTTCAAATGAGTCCTGCCTGATTCTAAAGTGTATGTGTGGTCTTACACATCACTCCACCCTGCCTCACATTCTCAAACTTATTAAACTTTGGCAGATTTTTGTTTTCTTTTTAAATGTGAGGTGATGCCAGAGTCTGCCTTTATTGTTAAGGCATCTGGCATAAGCCCTGGAATTTGCTGGCTATCCTATTTTAGTATTTAAAATGCAAACTTGTTATTTAAATGTAGACCACAAATTATCGTCTTTAGAGAGAGGAAAAAAAAAATCTCACATATTTGCCAAAACCGGTTTGGCTCAGTGGTAGAGCGTCGGTCTACGGACTGAAAGGTCCCGGGTTCATTTCCGGTCAGGGGCATGTACCATGTTGCGGGCACATCCCCGGTGGGGGATGTGCAAGAGGCAGCTGGTCGATTTTTCTCATTGACGTTTCTAGCTCTCTCTCCCTTCCTCTCTGTTAAAAAAAAAAAAAAAAAAATCTCAAATATTAGTTCCTTAAATGTTTAGCCATTATTTCAGACTACTGTGATATAAAACTGTAGTATAAGTAGTGTTTATTCCTAAACAGTTGTTTTATTGCATACATATAAAGTGAAATATTTATTGTTCTGTCTAGCTTTTGAAGTCATCAGTATAAAACAGACATCTTAACATATATTCATAACTAAAAGTCAACATCTTTAGTACATTAAGATTGAGCTGACAAGGACATCTAGTCTGAGACTGAGTATTGATTTATACATTTTACCATTTACTGAAAGCTTTATTCATAAAATGTTTATACATTTATTTTGACTGAAAGGTAGGAAATTCATTCTGTTAAAGTATATATAGGTTCCAAAGAGCAAAATTTATGACATTATGTATTCAGAAATAAGAAGTACTTTCTAAGCAGAGAGCTAGGGACCTTATCCTTAGTAAACTAGAGTAAAACTTCTACATTGCACCCTTTCCCTTTCTCACTCTTTAATTTATAATTAACAGTCTACAAATTAATCTAAATAGCT